GTCAGAACTTATTTAGTGGCATAAACTCGACGCAATGACGCTGGTAATGCCTGATCTGAAAGTGGCGCGACCTTAATCCCTGATCACAGATTACCGTGTAACACCTGTCAACTGAGTGTGAACAACAGACAGACAAAAACAAGCATAAATTGAATCACGCATAGGATTGCATCGTTTTGTGGGAAGGCTCCGAAGGGTCAAGTATGGTGATTTGAGGTTGACGTAATCGAAATTCGTTCGAGAGCACAAGATAAGCCTTCCAATTCGATGACAGATGCGAGAACAATCAGGGGCCGTATGCAAGAAGCTCCGCAGGTCTGCAAGAAGCCCCCAGACGTATGCAGCAAGCCCCGCAGCACTGAGAGGATACATCGCGGCTTGTTGCATACGGCCCCAGATGTTTACCATATATGAGTCCACCAAAGATTCTGATGGCCTGTTCATCATCACATTTACTAGATGCCTCATATCCGCTTCAAAACAGTCTGACTTGGTTTTGGGTGCAATTTTCGAAATTGACCATTTTATCATTTTTATAGGGGCCACTGTTACATGAATGGAAGCCCTGAAGAGTTTGGCAGCTCACTGGACGGATTACACCCACAAAATGTTAAAGGAGAAGCTTGTCCTTCATATGGGTTAAATCAGTTCGTGCCCAGAAGTTCATGAGAAGGAGACAAGCACTGTTTTTCCAAGCAACCACACTGGGTTTTATCAAACAGTGCCATTTTTCGTCATTTTCAAAATTACGCTGGAGTTCGCGCTCCGTAAACTAGCCATCTACATGTTTATAATTTGCTCCTAGCTTGGTGAGATGATCACTAGCCATTGAGATGAAGTACAGAAGGAGGGCGAAGCATTCAACATTTGTCGTTCGCTTTCTAGGAATGTGCCTTCAAGTTCTGCTAGGCTTTCGAGGCACATGGATAGACATGTGGCATATTCAATGAAATCAATGTCGAAAGAAATTTGGGTCGGGTTCGCACCACTTGAGTGAGGTTATTTAAACCGAGCGGAACTCATATATACTACGTTAGACGCCTCTAAGAAGAGGCGGGTTCTCAATTCATGGGTTACACTTTCGTGTGGAGTTATTTTTCACCTTTGCAGATACCTTAGAGTTTTTCACGTAACGAAGAGTCGTTGAAAATCATTATATACCCAAATGTTTTCATCAGATTATCGTCATATTTCGAAGTGTTCCAGACTTCTTTCACGGTATGCCTAAGAAAAACGTGATCTTCAAATTTCCTTCCTTCAAATCTTACGCGATATTTCATGAGCCCCGTTGGATTTCATTTCTAGAATATTCTCATGCTATCTGAGTGCGCTATTCAAATGCTAATTGTAAAACGAAATTCCA